ATGAAGTAAGAGAGCTCAAAGGATTGATCTTTCGATATAAGGAATAATCTTTTGTTACCATGTCTAAATGTCCCTTCACAGAAACAACAATCATCCCCTTTATAGTGGAGGGATCCTACTTTAGATATAATAAAAAATACATAGTGGGGAACCCATGAAGAACTAGTTTTTCCCTAATTCGTGCCAGGATTCTCTCTCCTAGCGTGGTTACAAATGGCTCTTGTCTGTGAGCTCGATATTGACTCGAGCTCTCGATCTTGACTCGAGCTCGATTCTGACTCGGAGTCTGGTATTGATTCGGGGTCGGTGTCGGTCGGTTTATGCATCTTAGGCTCGATAATTTCGCCTCGCCCCGTAGTTCGATTTGGATACGAGCTCGATAATGATACCGAGCTTGTCATTGATTGGTCCTAGAACTCGAAACTTGATAACCTTACTTCGGACCTCGACCTGGTATTACGAAGCCGCCCTTCGATCAAAGTATTATCATACCGACCTGTCCGTACGACGGACTAATCGGTTTTGACCGTATACAAACACCTTTTTAAAACCAGTAGTCACCTTTTCAATTTAAATAAGTTGTTAAAAACATTTTGATGAATAAAAAATATTTTTATTAAATAAAAAATAATAGGTGACTAAAAATATTAATTTCGGACTAGCCCTTGGCTATTAATAATATAGCCAAATTCTTACATCCCTCCAAAATAGCTTTCAAAATAATCAAATTATATAAGACAAAAAAGTGCTTATAAATACTTCTTCCTTTCTTTATTGTTCCAATGGACAAGTTTCCTACTCTAAAAAGATTATCCATCAAAACTAACTAATGTAACAATTTGTACATCCAAACAGATCTTTGAAAGCAGAATTGTTCTTGCATTTGCAGAGACTTAGTGATTCTTTTAGTGAAACATATTATAAAAAAGGATCATCGATCCTTTTAACTTTTCATTATATTGTTTGATAAGTCATGTATTAAGAACAATTTTTTTTTAATTGAGATTCAAACTCGTGACACTATGATTCGAATTGTATCCTCTAGACAGCTGAATTATCTCTGAAAAAACTATTAACACGCAACTGAACGAGTATTTTTTGGGCGATAATATTTGTGATTGAGAGTAGACAGGAAAGGTTATAACATCATTTAAATATTAATAGAAATACTCCAGAATTAAAAACTAATTAAAATATCCTTAAATTAAACCTCGTATAGATATGAAGTAGTTTTAATACTACCATAATATATCAAGAACGAAAGGAAAGCAGCCCCTACTTTTTAATTTCAATCACAACTCAAATGACACCAATTTCATAAAGTAGAGATATCCATAATTTCCATAAAGATAAATGAAATAATGTGCTAGGTAAAGTATGATTTTGACCTTTTCTTTATCTTTAACTTTTTCCTTCCTTACCTGCCAGTGATAGAAAAAGAAGAGAAAGCAAAAAAAGCAAAAAAAGCAAGAAAAAGTTAGATAAGTGCAAAGAAAAGCTAAGACAAGAAGGTTAGATTGTAACATAAGAGCCACAAGCAAGTAGCTTCTTCTTTCATATAAGAAGTTTCTTCTACCCAAAAAGTTTACCTAACTCACATAATTAGGCTTAAAAAGTAGGATTAGGTCCAAGTATACACATGAATTGTGATATTTACAGGTAGTCAAAGTCTAGATATGGAAATAACAACCCTAAAAGTTGTTGCATTATTCTATTAAAGAAATTGATTCCATCTTAGTTACAAGTAGGTTAAATTGGGGTCAAAGATATTTCATTTTTTGCATCGAAAAGATTCAAGAAAACAACGTGTAACAATAAAGTTAAACACATATAGGTCGAAAAAATGAAATCAAAATATGTCACTTCCCCACCTTCCATGCCCCAAGTGGAGGGGAGGCCTAAGAGAAAGGTCAATCATTTAACTTTGCCATGTTGTATTAAAACTATTAGCCTGTTCGGCTAAGCTTTTAAAATCAGTTTATTTTGAGAAGTGAGTATTTTTCAAAAAAATATTTTTGATGAGAAACAGTTTGTGTTCGACTAATTAATTTGAAAAACACTTTTGAGCAGTAATTAGTGTTTGGCCAAGCTTTTGAAAACCGCTTCTAATTATATTTTTCTTAAAATTGTTTCTCGAAAAAGTACTTTTGAAGAGAAACTATTTTTTTCTATTTCTCAAAAACTACTTCTGCTTCTCCTCAAAAACACTTTTTTCCATCTAAAAGTTTGGCCGCTGTAACTCTCGAAGACAACAGTAATGTCGTGGTCAACTCGGTCTTTTACTCTTAAATTTTTTTCTCACATTCATTCAACTGACTTTCTGAGTCAACTTAGTCAATGAAAAGGCAACGAGGAGAACCCCTCCATGAATCTACTGTAATACCCGGTCAAACCCAAAAAAAAATTAAATTTTTATTGCGTCGTCGATCATGAGTCATGACCACTACACTTCAATCTCAAATTAACTGAGATTTGTATAAATAATTTGTATTTATTCTGTTTATTTCAGTATTTAAAAGGTTAATCAAAGTTAGAGTATTTTTATGTTGACCATCGTTCTATAGAGCGCAACCCTCCTCTTTTAAAAAAAAAATGTTTCTAAGGTAAAGATATTTTCCATTGAAAATCTTTTTCCTTCAAACTAAAGCATCTCTATCTGCAGAGATTCTTGGGGACATATTCTTACAGTTCTATATTCTTATTTTAGATTCTCTTTTCTTGAGTTATGTGATTTCTTAAAGGAGAAATGAAATAGTCTCTTCCTTTTCCTTTTTTTAACCTTTTCACCTAAAACGTCTAATGCTGTGGTATTCTTAGAAAAACTACTAGTGACACCGAACTCAGGGTTTACACCAAAATATATTAATTTATCATAATTAAATAATAAATTGAGAGAATTCATATTATTCATCCATGATTTATTTTTCAATTATTCATCCAAGATTCACCAAGAAAAGTTTATGTAGAAAAAATGTCACGGTACTCATTGGTTGGTGTTAACACCAAATGCGCAATTATTATTATTTTTTGTGTGTATTTTAGTACCTTCATTTGTCAATTTTATATTTTGAAACTTTTTATTTGCCTCTTTTACCCTTTAATTCAAGGGCAAAGATCACTTTTAATCCGCGGCAAAACTATTTACATATGATAACCGTAAAAGTATATAACATGTATATATTTTTTGTATTTATATATATATTTTATATTTTAAGAGCGGTCATACGGTGTCATTTCCCATAATTCAATCAACCTTCCTTTGCTTCTTCTATATTTTGGGCCTAATTCTGTTGAAGAGCACAAGATTTTCCAACGACAAAAGAATGAAAGCAACCTTAAACGAATACACATGCCCGGTGTAAACAAGATTCGTACCAAAGATAGGGAACATCATAATACCAAGTTGATAAGTCATTGACTCAACCGTGAGTTATACTAGAGAGAGACGCAAGTGTGCACCAAGTATAAAGAAGCTACAAAAACATGGACTAATTTTCCTTTCTTTTCGTAAGGGTGGGGTCAGATGGGAAAAAATCACCCATATTTAGTATAAAATATAGTGAAATCAATACCATGTGAATCCGCAAGTAATAGTCATATCCAAATTACTCTCTCTACCAAGAGAGATTAATACATCGTCAATCTCTTAAAATTATCATCACTTTTCACTTAAACACTCTATTTTAAGTCTGTTTCATTTGAACACTCCAACCATATCTTCTGAGCATGAGAGATCAGTATTTCTATTTTTCATTTTTTTTAACTTTCTTTTTCCTCCTATTCTTTGGCACATTATCGTCCACGTCACTCCCTTCCTCTCTTTCTCCCTGCGCCAGTTCACCACCATCACCTTGTTGTCTTAAATTTTATTGTCGGAATTAATGGAGATCGCCGGAAAAATCCCAAATATTTTATTCTTTTTTGTTTCTTCCCTTTTTTCTCAACTCAGATTCTTTCTTCTCCAGTTAGCTAAAAGAAGGGATTTTCAACCCAAAAAAAGAAAAAAAATTAACATAAATTTCTCCCTTCCCCAGATCTGAAAATCCAAAATGGGTACTTTTGGGTGGAGGAATATTAATGGTGGTAGTTTACTATTCCTCTGTTGCTTTTCGTTTCATCTTCAAAACACTTGATTTAAAGGTCATCGTTACTGTGGCTGTTGCTGTGAAAGTCAGCAGCATTAAGAGCATGACAGCAATTTCAGTCAATAATGTTCATTCGGTGTGGATATTAGGAGAAAGAAAATGGTGGTAGGTGTGTTCATTGGGTGTGGAGATTAGGAGAAAGAAAGAGGACATGCCGGTACCTGTGTTTTTTCCTTTTGGCAAATGAAGACGGAAGGAAGAGGAGGGAAAGATGACTAAGGGTGGCGTAGGGTTCTTGTTAAAAAGCTTCTTTTTTAAAAAAAAAATTTGTCAAGTTAAATCCAAATGTCCCCTTTTTATTCGTCACTTTGTCAAGTGAATTACACACGTCTTATATGGTTGGCTACTTATGAATTTTGTGTTTAAATGGCACATTTGAGATATGATTGAAGTGTTCAAATGAAACAGACTTCAAATAGAGTGTTTAAGTGAAAAGTGAGGACAACTTTAAGGGATTGCCGATGTATTTGGCCTATTTTCTTTCCACAACTTGGATGTTTGAAAATTGTTGTCAACAACATACTCAGTGTGATCCCACAAGTGGAGTCTGGAGAGCATGGGGCGTACGCAGACCTTACCCCTACCTTGTATAAGGTAGAGAGAGTGTTTCCAATAGACCTTCGGCTCAAGAAAAGCGTTTTCAAAACAGGTTAAAAAAATATAAGAGTAAAAAGCTATGATAAAAATACTAACGAAACGAAAAGTATTGACAGCAAAAATAGTAAAGATAACTAAAGCAAAAGAAACAACATTAGTAATAAAATTTAAGAATAAGAATAATACACTGATAGGGAGAAGAAGGAGCAGATAGCGATATGAATATAAATATTTGCTATCCCAATTCAAGTAAACAAGTTTCTTTTTAGTTTGACTCAATATATTGACTTCCTTCAACCAGCGACAACATAACCACAAATATGAACAATACAGGATTCTGTATCTACTAAATATAGATCTGAATTTTGCAATGGAAAGACCATGAACATAATTTATTCAACACATCAAACTTCATTTGGGACAAAACTACGGAGCATCACTTGGAAATCCTTATAGCATCACAAATTATGTGAGGTCGTATCAATTACATTTGAGGTATTCTTCTTGAAGAGGAAATGGCAGCAATAAGGAGCCAATTACAACACAATATTATGGAAACCTCAAGAATAGAAGATTAATAAACGATATGTAGTATTTGTTTGCCGAAAGCTCGCTCATTGTTTTCCACATCGAGAAAACAAATCTAAGGGAGCATTTCTATCTCCTTTCATAAACTTGGCAACTTAAGATTATTTTTTAAGGCAATAGATAAATTTACCTCTCCAGAAGCATCACCAGTTCACAATGAGGAGTATGAGGAAAGAGATCAACCGCCATTGCTTTGACAGGTTGAAAAGGCTCTGAACTGGGCATAGATTTGGTCCTATGTCGTGCAAGACTAGCACTGCTCATATTTCTCCATCTGTTGTTTTTGTTATTACCCTTCTCAGTTTCATCTGGAGAAGGTGTGCATAGCTCAATAGCATTTGCGACCAAGCTCTCAGGGTTACAGGAAATGTAACTGAAAAGAGCAGATTAACAAAAACGAGGATTAGACTAGAAATAATGCTGGAAAAGGTCTGAACAATAACATAAGAAAATGGAGAAGGGACAAGTTGATGCATCAAAGGAGCTTACACGAGCCTCCTTAGACGTGAATTAGTCCTCAAAAGTTTGATAACCTACAAGCATTGAGAACAAAAATTAGCTCAAAGTAAGCAGCTCATTTCAAGCCCCGCATATAATAACGGAGGAAACATATAGTAGTATCAATCACGGGTGGTCACATAAAACTGAATTAGATCAAAAACCAGATGAACTCTTCATCCATTATATGAGATGCAGAAGCATATTAGCTTAAAAACTGGTGACCAACATCATAAAGAAGTATATTTATGCTCTAAGTACTTGTCCAGATACCAAGGATGAACGCAGAGAAATCACTTACAGTGGGATGCAGTCCAACACGTGGAGGATCCACAATTGCAACAACATTCTTGAAATGTCGCACTGAAGTGGTCAAATTATCTGATGAACTCTTCCCAAGTTGGGATTCTGATTCTGTAATGCCATCTGCTGAAGATTCTGACAAGCTTGTACCATTGGTACGCTCAAGGCCTGCTTTTCCCTCAGGTTCCATTGTGTTATCCGTAGAATCAGTATTCCCAATAGGTGCAGCTGCAGACCCAATACCTGATCCCTCATCTGTTTCCGATGCATTAACTATAGAATCAGTCTTCTCTGTGGAAGTTGTATTTTCTTGTATATCTGGAATTCCATCTACTTTTGGAGGTGAAGTAAGGTACTCTCTCAGTACAGATCCCATGACATTCTCGGCCTGCAATCGCATGGTGCAAATTCTGGAATTAACATGTGTAACATAGTTTTTAATACAAAAGATAAGCTATCCTACAGAAAGAGGGAAGGACAGATAAGCATAGTCATTGTTTCAAAAGAAATCTATGCTATAGCTACCGAACAAAAGCTCATTGAAATTCAGGTTGTTCTTAAAACTTAAAAGTAAGCTAGCTCTCAAACCAAATCCAGATAGACTTCAGAATGTGCGCCAGACCCATCAGGCTTTTACACATAGTTCAACTTAATATGCCTGATATATCTTTTTCCTTGACTAAAAAGCCTTTGCAAATCTTTAATGAAGTTAAAACTTAAAACGGGACTAAAAGTTAAGATTGTTATAATCTCCTCGTGTGGGGGGGGGGGGAGAATCCATAGTGATATAGAAGTGCCACAAGTCTTGACACC